GGCGAGGACCAGCCCTGCGCGCCATCTGCTTCGCATCGACGCGGTCGCCGCCGCCTCTCGGGCCGCCCCAGGAATGCAGCGGCGGCAGGGGCGGGCAGGCTTTGCCGGGAGAGGGGGAGGGCTCGGTGGCCGTCTTGCTCTGTCTGCCTGGCGCAGTCCTCCTCCCTTAACGGGGCCCGGTCCGGGGATGAAGATCCGGTGGCAGGGTGGAGCTGTCGGGAGCTGGGACCTGCAAGCCTTTGGAGCCCATGCTCCTAGAAGGACGCCCTCCTCAGGAGTCCGACTGCCTTTGTAACGGAGAGCCCAGCTGGAGTTTTTGTTCGGGTTATGATGCCACCTCTGCCCAGCTGTGTAAACCTCAGCAACTCCTTTACTTTTGGGGGCCTGTCTCCACTTTTGTACAATGGAGTTGGTGGTGGAACCGACCTCATGGGGTGTAGGAGAAATTACTGTGATGGTGTGGTCAGGGGAAAGACAGTCACTCAGGACTCCGCCCACATGGAGTCTGAACCATGCTCTAGTTATCCTCATAAGAGGTCCAGGAGAGAGGAGTGTGCGCTCACATGGTAAAACCCTGTATACCTACTGTGTGTCAGGCCTGTGTCTGTGCAGACACAATAGTTAGAGACCAATGCCCCTGTAGTACCCTTGTGTCTGTGGTAGGGGGAGACTTGTATCCCAGAAAGCAAAGCAAGTGAGGCCAGCTATTCAGTAAGACCTGGGACCCGAGGGCTGGGGGTATAGCTCAGTGGTAGAGTATTTGCCTATCATTCAGGAGACCCTAGGTTTGATTGTTGGCACTAGGAGGGGAGCAGGAAGACAGCACTGAGTAGGGGATGCGTTAGGGCAACCTGGAGAGATCCACTGAAAAGGTGGTAAGTGAGTCTAGGCCTGCAGGACAGGAAGAGGGAGCCAAGTGGGTGTCTGGGACAAGGCTCCAGATTCAGAGGGCATGTTGGAAGCATAATAAACAGCCTTGGGTTGTGCCAAGCCCAGGAGAACAATGGTGGAGGAGAACAGGGAGCGAACCCAAGTGGGCCACAAGGGTGCTGCTCACTGTCATGTGGCCTTGGGCTTCATGTCTGAAGCAGTGGGACCCCAGGGGCTCTTGCACAGAGGACGGGTGGGATCTGACTGCCAGGTGGCAGACACGCTGGGAAGCAGCTAGGAAGTCAGGAGGCACCATGGAGGTGAAAGGTGGCTCTCCAGAGGCTAGTGCAGGTACGGGAGACTCAGCTCCTCTCTAGTAGTTTGGAAGAGAAAGTAGGTGTTTTTCTCTCCGTGGACCTGTTGGGGGTCTGGTACCTCCTGAGTCATGAAAGGACAGGTGTGACTTGAGATGGAGAGGCTTGGGGACCAGAGGAGATCAAGAGTTCAGTTTTAAGTAAGTTGGGTATGCAACTCCCATGACTTCTCCCTGTAGTGACATGGTCTGGGGGCAGTTGGATTTGAAAGTCTGTCCTTGAGGGAGAGGTGCCCATGGAGGACCCCAGGGCATCGTGAGTGACTGATGGAGCCTGGTGAGCTTCTTGAAGGGTCCAGTGTAGACAGAACAGAGGAGGGGAGAGATCAAGAATAGGGACAGAAAGCAAAGGAGAAGGGTTCTGGGGGCAGAAGAATGGCCAACCAAGTGTGGGGTCACAAGTAGGGCCATGGCACAAAGAGAAGCTTCTTTTCATAAACTTGAGAGAAAATAGGTCAGTGTGAAGCACAGGTATGGGGAGGGAAGATGTCTAGGACGGGAGAAATCACAGTACACAAGGTGGCTGTCTTTCATCACAGTGCTATTAAGAGCTTTAGGGGCAAGACGGGCCGGAGGGCACAATGGAGTTGGTGGTGGAACCGACCAACCAGCATTCTTGGAGGCTGAATGATTACAATTGATCTCAAGTTGAAGCCCAGCCTGGGCAATTTAACAGTTTAGCAAGACTGTGTCAGGAAAAAAGTGAAACTCTCTAGGGCCAGCCTGCAGCATGTTGAGCTTGTTGCTGGAGCCTGAGTTTCCAAGGTCTCACTCCACTTACAGAGCAAGTGTGGGACCTGCACCCCACCCCTGGCCATCTTTTACTGCCTCACCTTCATAAGATCTGGAGTTTGTGGGTTTGCATGGCCTTGTCTGATACCTGTTCTTGGAAGGAAAGGCTTCTTCTTAGTGAACCCAAATGCTCTGTGTCCTACTGGTGTCTTACAGCTGTGCTGTAAAGAGACCTGGGTGTACACTGCACTGGGAATAGCATCAAATAGGAGTCTGGCTTCTTGAATTCTGAGCATGGACTGGAAAAGCAAACAGTAATGTAAACCACAGCTACAGTGGAGCTTTTAGTATGTCCCAAACATTGTCCATATCTTGGCTTTCTTAATCCTTCTTCCAAACCCACGGGCCCTGTTCTATAGCTAGGGAGCCTGCAGCTCAGAGATGAAACTCCATGCCTGAGGTCATCCAGTAGTGGCAGTCCTAGTCATCAAATGCAGTTGCGTGTGACCCTAAAACTAGCCATAGAGCCAAAGCTCCACAGACGAAGCTGCCCGGCAAAGGGGTTGGTTAGCACTTCTTGCGCCAGATGAATTTCCATCAGGCCTTCCTGCACATGGGTTCCTCGAAGCTCCTAGGTCAGCTGGATGAATGGAGACAATAGGAAGAGGAAAATCCAGACTTATTTTATGTTCCAGTTTTATTTATAGAGAATATGTTGGACCTGTTCCCCCAAATTTGGATTTTATGGGTCTTTCTCTCCAGGTCCTAACTTTGGCCTGATGGATAACCAAGCTCTTATAGTTGAAAAGGGGCTGCCCTGGGAAGTTAGAGCCCTCACCAGGGTGTGGCTTTTATCTTGGGCTGGGGAATGGTTGGAAGCATCTTCTGTAGCCTGGGTAGGCATGTGCAGGGCATGGTATGGGCCTTTTGCAGCTTTTTCCTTTGGTCTGTCCCACCCCACCAGGGTCTTCAGGATCCCTCTCAAATCCTCCCACCACCACATCCTGATTTTAGATTTGGATGCTTCTGAGGATGCATACTCCTTTTCTGTAAAGTGTGAATGACTGCTATATTCCTGTAGAACATTCTTTTTTGGTTGTTGTTGTGGGTGGTGGTGGTGGTGGAACCAGGGATTGAACTCAGGCTCTTGCGTTTGCCAGGGAAGCACTTATTCCACTGAGCCATCTCCCCGGCCCCAAAGAACATTCTTTTAGGTGTAATGGGACTGTAGGAACACCTGTAGTGTCTTAGATACTTTCTCATTGCTGGGACAAAATATTCAGGACCCATGAGTTAAAGGAGGAAAGGTTTATTTTAGCTTACTGTTTGTAGAGATTTCGGTCCACAGTCAGCTGGACTGACCATCTGGCCATGTCCCCCATCCTGAGAGATGCTCTAGACCTCTGTTTCAGCAGGTACTCAAGGCCCAAGGATCTCTCTCTATCCCTCAAGTCATTGCTGCTCTTCCTGAGACTCCTAGGGCCCTCTTTTTGCAGGCCTGGTACACAGGAGGGCCCCAGGGAGTAGGTGGGATAGGGGTGGGGGTGGGGAAATGCCCCGTTCCCTCTGCACCCACTGCCTGAGTGCTGAACTTGTGTCTTTCTACTGCACCAAGAGTCTCCCACACCAGCTGTAAGGCCACAGTAACTACCACCTCCCAGGACATATCTCAGAGGTATAGCAGAGGCAGGTGAGAGGGGAGCCGAGCGTGGTGCCGGCTGGCCCTGGGTAAGGGTAGGGGAAAAGCGTGTCAGACTCTGCCATCCTCCTTGTGTTCGCAGCTCCCAAGTGCCCACGTGCTGCTCTGGTTGGAGACAGCAGGGGGACGAGTGTGGGATCGGTGAGTGGGGAGCCCCAGGGGGTGAGAGTGGAGATGGGGGAGGGGGAGGAAAACACCCTGGGCAGCTCCAACCGATCTGTCTTGTGCTAAGCGATCTATTTTGTCCTGAGCGATCTGTCTTGTCCTCAGCGGTGTGCGAAGGCAACTCCACGTGCTCAGAGAACGAGGTGTGCGTGCGGCCTGGCGAGTGCCGCTGCCGCCACGGCTACTTCGGGGCAAACTGCGACACTAGTGAGCCTGGGGTGGGCCGACACTGGGCATGGGGCGGAGGAAGTGGGGAGGCAGTGGAGAGCGAGCGAGGGCTGGGGGTGGGGCGAGGCCTGATCTGGAGACTGAATGACCCAGAAGGCCGGTACCCTGAGGCGTAGATGGGGTGCGTGCTGAACGCCGCCCACGCAGACACCAACTTCCCACTCCCTCCTTCCTGCAGAGTGCCCACGCCAATTCTGGGGCCCCGACTGCAAGGAGCGGTGTATTTGCCACCCTCACGGGCAGTGTGAGGATGTGACTGGCCAGTGCACGTGCCATGCGCAGCGCTGGGGCGAACGCTGCGAGCATGCATGTCAGTGCCAGCATGGCACGTGCCACCCGCGGAGCGGCACTTGCCGCTGCGAACCCGGCTGGTGGGGCGCACAGTGTGCTAGGGCATGCTACTGCAGCACCACGTCGCGCTGCGACCCGCAGACGGGCGCCTGCCTGTGCCACGCGGGCTGGTGGGGCCGCAGTTGCAGCAATCAGTGCGCCTGCAACTCTTCGCCCTGCGAGCAGCAGAGCGGCCGCTGCCAGTGCCGAGAGCGCACTTTTGGTGCACGCTGCGACCGTTACTGCCAGTGCTTCCGAGGCCGCTGTCACCCAGTGGATGGCACGTGCGCCTGCGAGCCGGGCTACCGTGGCAAGTACTGTCGCGAGCCTTGTCCTGCAGGATTCTATGGCCTAGGCTGTCGCCGCCGGTAAGCTCAGCGTCTCCGGGAGGAGGAGAGGGAAGGGCAGGTACCCGTGGGGGTGGGGAGGCACATCCGGGTCCCACTTTGCTTCCTGACCCTCCCTAGGTGCGGCCAGTGCAAGGGCCAGCAACCGTGCACTGTAGCAGAGGGCCGCTGTCTGACGTGTGAGCCTGGCTGGAACGGAACCAAATGCGATCAGCCATGTGCCACCGGCTTCTATGGCGAGGGCTGTGGCCACCGCTGCCCGCCTTGCCGCGATGGGCATGCCTGCAACCATGTCACCGGAAAGTGCACTCGCTGCAACGCAGGCTGGATTGGCGACCGGTGAGCAGCTGGTGCCAGGTTCTGCACAGACGTACAGCCCCATGGGACTTTGGGGATTGTTCTGTGGGCTCTGGTTCTGTTTGCCTCCACTTCTGCTGACGTTTCCTCCCATGTTGTAAGGTGTGAGACCAAGTGCAGCAATGGCACGTACGGAGATGACTGTGCCTTCCTGTGTGCTGACTGTGCCAGCGGCCACTGTGACTTCCAGTCAGGGCGCTGCCTTTGTAGCCCTGGTGTCCACGGACCCCAGTGAGTTCCTTGAGTCTCAGAAAGGGAAATGGGATTTGCACCAAAAGCCAAGGGCTCCAACTGGACCTCACGGTCCAACAAAGCAGAACCCAGGGCTGGGCTGTCACCTCAGCTTTGGTCACTTACTCCAGCTAAAGACTGACCACAGACATGTTGGAGCCTGTGCTTGTACCTGAATCTGACGATTTACTCAGCCTGTGGTCACTGGGCTCCTGAGGTTACCCAGAACTGGTGCAGAGGAGCAGGGGTCTCCACTTACAGTTAAGGGTATGATTATGCAGCCCTCTTCCTATCCACGCACAAATCAGTCCCAAAAGGATTGCGGCCAGGTGGCAAACACTACTGCAGATGGTGTTGTTTTTTTTTTTTTTTTTTCTTTCTTCATTTTTTGGATTTTAGGTAAGGGTCTGCAGGGTGTGATCTGCCTGTTTACAGTCTCTCAAGAGCTGGAATTATTGGCTTGCACCACCACGCCCAGTCTCAGTCGCCCTCTCAGAGCGCCCCGGAGGCAGGGCCGGCACAGCAGGCCTGGGGATTGAGCCCCCGACCCCTGTGTCTTTTTGCCAGCACTTTAATCCGTTGAGCTATTTGGCCGGCCCTGGTGTTCATATTTAAATCTAAAACACGGATCACTCAGTGTGTGCCCGCCCGCAGTGGGGGGAGGGGGCGGGAGGGTGGCCTTCAGAGCCTAGAGAATAGAGCTAGGTAGTGGGAGCCAGAGAAGGTGGCATGGGGAGGGGCTGCAGCAGCCTGCGCTGACTCGTGTATCCTTGCAGCTGTAACATGACATGTCCACCCGGGTACCATGGAGTGGACTGCGCCCAGACCTGCAGCTGCCACGAGGACTCCTGCGACCCCATCACGGGCGCCTGCCACCTGGGTGAGTGGGAGAGACAACGTGTGTTTACGGAATGCAGGAGGTGTGGGCACGTGCTCTGACCCGGTTGCCCTCCGCCCCCGCAGAGACCAACCAGCGCAAGGGCGTGATGGGCGCGGGTGCGCTGCTTGCCCTGCTCCTCGGCCTGCTGCTCTCGCTGCTCGGCTGCTGCTGCGCCTGCCGCGGCAAGGACCCCATCCGCCGGTGAGGCCCGACACCGCTCCGGTTCTCCGGGTTCTCCGCGTGGTCCAGGATGCACGCTCTCGCGGCCCGGGTCCCGCCTGCCCCTGGGCAAGGCCCCGCTCCTTCCTGTGTTTGGGGTCCCGCGGAGCTCGAAGCGCCCCAGGCCTAGTGCGCGCCCCGCCCCCTCGCTCAGGCCCTGCCCCCGCAGGGAGCTCTCGCTGGGAAGGAAGAAGGCTCCGCAACGCCTGTGCGGGCGCTTCAGCCGCATCAGCATGAAGCTGCCCCGGATCCCGCTGCGCAGGCAGAAGTTACCCAAAGTCGTAGGTAAGGTGGAGCTCCGAGGCGACATTGAGGGAGACACCTACCAGCGGTGCCGAAGGCTTTGGGATAAGAGTGTGAAGGAGTATCCGGTTTGGTGTAGAAGTGGTAGAATTTTGAGGTTTGATTTGCATGGGTGTGGGATGTGCGACCAGAGGGAAGGCTGGGGGATGCTGCTATGGATGAGATTAGGGAGGAAACCAGGAGTCCTAGGTGTGCGGGTGGATACAGGTGCATGCGTAGGAAGTGTGGGTCCTGAGTGATTGCATCGGTTTTCTGTAGACTGTGTGGAGTTCTAGGGCCCAAGCTTTAAGTCTGTTCTATACACCCTGGTGCAGTTATAGGGGAATGTGTGGGCACAATGAGGGAATTCTCTGGCCCCAAGGGGATCCCTAGCAGTGCCCTGACACCTTCCTGGAAATTGGCAGGCTGGTTCCTCACCCCCTGCCCAAGGACCCCTGGAGTGGGGGTCTGTGTTTCTCCTGTGTGTGCTGAAATCCAACCAGAGTGAACTTTCTCTTTTGATCTTGTTTCTGAAGACTGAGTGAGGGTAAAGAGGTTCAGACTTGGGAAATAAAGGAAACAGCTAAGAAAACGCTTTGGTCCAACCAGTAGCAAGGCATTTGTGAACATAGACAGGTGTGGGGGCTGGTGCTACAACCCATCTGTGGAATGAAGACCAACCAGCTCTGGGATCCCTGGAGGCCAGGCCAGGGTTTGGGGTACAGGCTGCTGAGATGGATTAAGCCAAAGGGCAGTCTTACTACTGTATAACTGGGCTCAAAAATGCTCCAAGGCTCCCCAGGCCCCACAAGGCAGGGCCTGAAACATGGTGTGGAGATCCTGCTGGCCTGTCCTAGCCAAGTGTCCTCTCTAGGCCTCTCTCACCTTCCCTTAACCCTTCAGCCCAATCTTTTCTAAGTTCTGACTGCACACACTTGCACCTAACCCTCTTTCTTTAATGGGGTCACTGTTACCTATTCTCCAGACCTAGTCTGGTGTCACTTTACCTGTGGCATTTCTTGTCCCACCTACACCCTTGGGGTAGGACTGGTCTTAATGTACTCCCTGTACATTTGGCCAACGAGGGCAGAAGCTGGGGCAAGGCAGGGACCCTGGTTCACTCCTCCTCCAGTGGCCCATCACGACCTGGACAACACACTCAACTGCAGCTTCCTGGAACCACCCTCAGGGCTGGAGCAGCCCTCACCATCGTGGTCTTCCCGGGCCTCTTTCTCTTCCTTTGACACCACAGATGAAGGCCCTGTGTACTGTGTCCCCCACGAGGGTGAGTATTACCTGGTTTGGGCAAGTTTCCAGTCCAGTAAAAGGTCCCCACTACGAGATCTATGCTAGAGGTGGGAGCACAAAGCATGGGAAGTAAAACCATGGTAATGCTGTTATATGGATACTGGTCACAGAGTGGCTGCAGAGCTAGACTTAGCACAGCTGTCCCATGCTGAGCTGGATGGTGTGACGACTAGTTACTGGTCAACTGCACTTCTAGATGAAATAAGGCAGGGAAGTTTGTGGGCCTAAACAGGGTGTCACAGAGGCAAGAGGAGTGGATCCAGAGAGTATGAAGGCACACCTTTGCCTGCAGCCTTGGGCCCACAAACAGAAAGGAGCCAGACTGGTTGGGATGCTGGCCTCTTTTTCCCCTTGCTTCTTAAAGGATAATAGGACTGGGGAATGTTGAGGCATCATACTTGATGGTGGTACCTGAGGGTGGTGGAAAATGGGTGCAAGGTCAGGCCCAGCCTAGACTTCAGCCCAAGAAACTGTCAGCCCTCACTCCCCAGCTTACCTAGGGCACTAACTTATAGATAGTGCTATGAATGTGCCCTGGGCAACAGCGACAGGTTGGGCCTATGTAGAGGAAAAAGAAAGGTGAAGGTTTGCACCGGGAGGTTGGACCTTCCAGCGCTGTTCTGGCAGTTGGTGACCAGCTGACTCTGCTTGTCAGAGGCTGCAGCCGAGAGCCGGGACCTGGAGGCTCCCTCTGCTTCTGCAGAGGCGCCGGCAGAAGAGGCACCTCCGCTCTCCGCGTCCTCCGACAGCGAGCGGTCGGCGTCCAGTGTGGAGGGACCAGGCGGGGCGTTGTACGCACGCGTGGCTCGGCGGGAGGCCCGGCCGGCCCGGGCTCGGGCCGAGGCCGGGGGTTTGTCGCTGTCGCCATCGCCTGAACGCAGGAAGCCGCCGCCACCTGATCCCGCTACCAAGCCCAAGGTGTCTTGGATACACGGCAAGCACGGCGGCGCTACCGCGACCCAAGCGCCCTCACCATCCCCCCTGGGCTCTGAGCCTGCACCAAGCCCCAGCAAGAGGAAACGGACACCCAGCGACACGTCGGCGCGGCCCGAGGAGCTCGGGAGCCCCCGGGCCCGCGACACGACCCCCCGGGCCCCGGGGCTGGCCGAGGAGGTCCCGGCCCTCATCGCGCCCTCACCGCCCCGGGCCCGAGCGCGAGGACGTGGGCCTGGCCTGTCGGAGCCCACGGACGCCGGTGGTCCTCCGCGCAGTGCGCCCGAGGCCGCCTCCATGCTGGCGGCTGAGCTGCGCGACAAGACTCGCAGCCTGGGCCGCGCCGAGGCAGCCCTGGGCGCGCAAGGTCCCCGGGAGAAGCCGGCGCCACCGCAGAAGGCCAAGCGCTCGGTGCCGCCCGCTTCGCCTGCTCGCATGTCCCCAGCGCCCGAGGCCGTAGGGCCCGAAAAGGCCGCGACCAGCGCGCCGGCGCCGGAGACACCGCGGAAGAAGACTCCTATCCAGAAGCCACCGCGCAAGAAGAGCCGGGAGGCAACGGGCGAGCCCCCAAGGGTGGGCGCGCCCACCTTGTAGGAGCTCGGCCCCGCCGCTCCTGCAGCTTCCCTTGGCTTAGCAGCGTTGCTTGCCACCCCGCGTTCTGCAACCCTGGCATCTCCCGCGCGACCTGGGCACAGGAGACCTCCCCTTGGCCGAGGCCCCCAGCGGCACGGCAGGAGGTTGTGTCTGATTGGCTCCAGCTCCCAGCAGCCGCTACTTGGTTGGAGCAGCGCTCAGGCGGGAAGTACCGCATCCCATTGATCCAGGCCTGGCGCTTAGCTGGCGGCTCTCTCCCCATTGGCCGAGTTTGGAGCTCTCCGACCACCCACGTTTCATTGGCCAAGACCAGATGAGTTCTGCCTAGAGACCACCACTTCTTGTACAGTATTTGGGACTACCTTTTCATTGGCTGAGGCCAGAAGCACTTCTCGTGTAAGCTACCCCCCATTGGCCAGGGCCTGGTGCCTCCTGGCGGGAGGGTCCCTTCCTTGGTAGTAACCCCAGGCTACTTCCATTGGTCGGACTCCAGGGCATCTATCTGGTTGATTGCAGCCTGGGGAGGAGGGCTGGTCCCTGCTCTTCAGGGGGCTCAAGGTGCTCCTCAGGGGGCTCGGTGCTCCTCGACTGTCCCACTTCTTCCCCTCCCTGGCACCCCAAGCTAGCCTCCCTATCCTCACCCTCAGCTGTCAAGCTGGTATTGATAGCCTCCCACCACCCTGTTCGCTATGGAACTCCCAGGGGTGACTCCAGTGGCCTGAAAAGATGTATTTATACAGCCCTGGCAGGGCTGCTTACACTCTGTTCAGGGGCCCCAGGATGGGCTCCTCTTGGCAGGGCCTTGGCCAAAGCTTCTTAATAAAGTGCCTTTCTTTTTCCCTTCTGTGCTGTGATTACTACCTGTCTGCAGAGCTCTGGCAAAGATATCCCCTTAAAGAAACTGCATGTGATTTCTTCATGCCACCACAGGTTCACCTAAGATCCCTGGTGGTCTCTAAGGATCATGTGGAAAGTGGGCTGTGCCTGACCTTCGCTGATCTGTATCAAAGTTATAGGCCCCTCCCTTGTCTTGCCCAGCCTGGACTGGCCACCTGGGAAGAATGGCTCAAAGCAGGTCTGAGCAGGGAATCCCTCGATGATGGGGAGCCACGGGCAGTGGGAGCTGCCTCTGTGCTGCACCTTTCCCACAGGCTGCCTCTGTTGAACTTGGAGGTCAGAGCTGTTTGGGGTGGGCCAGAGGCTGGGGCCAGGGGCCAGGGGGCTGTGGGTGCAGCCTCCAGCCAGGCCTCATCTCGCACAAACAAGAAGGTCTGCCTGTGCACAGAGCCCTGCTGTCCCCCTCAATGGGCTCCTTGTCCTCAGCCGGAAACTCTTCACTTGCCTGCCAGAGGCAGAGGGGATGGGGAGGGGAGCCTCCCCAGCAGGCTGGAGCCCCTGCCCTCTGCTGGCCATCCTGCCCTCTGACCGGCTTCCATCTGTGACCCTTTGTTCCCCAGCACCTCCACTGCCAAAGGCAAGCTTCCTATGTGAGCTTCCCAAGCCATGTGCTTTAATCTTTCCCTGATTCCAGATGTTTACTTGGGTTCCACAAGCTCTACTTGGGCTCCTCCCATTTCCCTGCCCATCTTCTTCTCCCACTCCCCTATCTTTTGATGCCCAGCTCAGCCAGTTCTGCGAAGATCCTCCAACCCATTCCCTACACCTGGTCTGCAGCCCAGAGCCCAGCTGGACTGTCTGACTAACGCTGCAGTACTTGCAGCCTTTGATCCACCTTGGTCAGCTCCACAGGGGCTCAGTCACCCGAGCAAAGATGGGCATCCTGCTTCAGTGGGGGGAGACCTTAGAACAGCTGGTGGGCACACAATCCCTCTGTCTGATTCTCTCAGGCAGCACGTGGAACACAGACTGCCTGTCTCAGGGCCACATTGCTTCCCTTGGGCTGGTTGGGCACCCTGGCAGCAGTGGCCCTGTGGCTGGCTGGGTTATGATCTATTTAGGCACCAAGCCACACTGGCTGCTGGGGTTGATGACACAGGCTCAGAGTCAGCCAGGAGGGAAAGAAGGCAAGATGAGCCAGCAAGAGCAGGACACTGACTCTAGGGGGAGGCAGGAGTGCGTAGTACTCTGGTTTAGTCCACACCTTTTCTTGGTTTGGGTTTTATTTTTTTTCTTGTTTTGTTTTTGTCTTTTTGAGACAAAACAGGGTCTCTCTATACAGTTCAGGCTGGCCTTGAGTTCACTTTGCAGCCCAGGCTGATCTCAAACTCAATGATCCTCCTGCCTCAGCCTCTGGAGTGCTGGGATTATAGGCATGGGCCACCACACCTGGCTGGGTCACACTGCTTCCATGCTATGTGCCCCCACAACAGAACCATCATACTCCGATGCTGCTGCTCCCTGATCCTCCAACCCCCAATTCTGGCTCTCCATCTCCTCAGCTTGGGCCAGCATGATTTGAGGAGACCGGGGGATCTTAGCTACCAAGCTTTCTTGGGGCCTCTTCTCTCCCTGCACCGGAAGCCTGTCAAGCATCTGAAGCCCAGCTTGCAGAGTTTCTGTCTAGGTACCTCACAGAGCAGGGACCCCTCCTCTCCCAGCATGCAGTCTCCATTGCTCTCCCCCCACCCCAGAAAGGTCCCCTCAATTCTCTTCTGACTTCGAAGCCACCAGCTCTTCCCCACCCCCTCAGGGCTCACAGCAGTGCCAGCTCCAGGGGCAGGCGCCACAAAAGGGAACCGCAGCTGCTGGAACCTCAGTTGCCATGGGGATGGGGACCACAGGGCTCACATCTGGTAGCAATTGAGGAGGAAAAATTATGAGTCGTGGAAAATGCAAATATTTTCTGTAGCACAGAGCACGAAGGAATGTGGAGACTGGAGAAGGGCCTAGGCCCAGTCTGGTTTCCAGCAGGGCTGCAGCATTAAGTGCACAAGGGGGCAGGGCTGCACACAAGCATGCAGCCAAGCCAGCAGCCACTGGCCCTGCAACACACACATGCTTACCACTGGATATACACGAACATCAACACACTCAACCTGAAACACACACACACACACACACACACACACACACACACGGCCACATGTACTGCCCACAGGTGTACTCAAAGAAACAGAGACACTCATCTACCAGTGCACACACAGCTGCCCTCAACACACAGAAGCACCCAGACAGATGGACAGACACACGCATGCACGCATGCACACACATGCTTCTGATAGCCAGAAATAATATCCACTGTCTAACAAAAATGTACACCCCACCATTCATAGAACCACTGCCACACTGCACGTGAGTGGAGAGAGACACACACTGCCTGCCACTCACAACATATTGGCAAACCCACAGTGAAACAGGGACTCAGCCTTCAGGACACATTCATGATTCATGGAAACAAAAAATATACATACTGGGCCAAAAATACAGCACCTGCCTGGTGAGTCCAAGGTCCTGAGTTCAATTTCTGGTACTAAAAAATATACGTACATTGCAATGTACAGCATATCCACTGGACACAGGAACATGAGACAGATACTTGTAACACATGCACACTTCACTAAACACAGAGAAAGGCAGAAACACATATGTATCATACAAAACATGCACATCAGAGGTGCACATGGAGGCAGCAGACAGCTACATGTCCTGTGACACACTATAGTTCATGACACACTGAAAAGAGACAAATATTTGCAAACGTTTCCTGTCCCAGAGACAAAAACATGAGATTAACACATCACAGAGTGCTTGCCAAGCACACCCCTTCATAGCATACGCACATCACTGGATACAAAACATCAACACATACCGCACACACTCACAGAAAAACACAACATACACATATCGTCATCTGACACACAGAAACACTGAGCAGCACCCACCAGAGACACACATACACACATAACTGCCACAGACACACTGAACAGACATGCACCTTGCAAACACACACAGCGCCTAACCCCCAAGAACACACACACACACACACAAACATCAAGACATAGCAACAGACAAAAATAACACACACACGTATACTTCAGCCACCACACACACTCCACTAGAGGCAACAAAATAAGGAAACAGACACTTAACCTGTGTGTGTGCTACCTTATCCACAGAAAGGCACAGACAAACACGCGTGCACCCTGTGATGCACAGACATCTTTAGAGATGCTTCAAAGTATGGCCTGTTCTTTAGATATGCCTTGCACGCAAATGACAGGTGAAACCTGCTAGGGGCAGTAGTGAGTCAGGGCTGGGGTTAGGAGAACAGTGTTCTGAGGAACAGAAGGACAAGAATCAAAGGGCAAGGGAATGGACATGTGCAGGTCTGCTGATAGGCTTCAGAGGAGCAGAAGCAGGCAGAGCAAGGGCAGTTAGGAGTGAGGGAGACCTTGGGCAAGGTGACAGTGGGACATGAGCTTGTGGATGATTCGTCCTGGGGTGAGTGTGGTTGCCCCTGGATGATGGGCAGGGATCATCACTTTTGGGTGAGAGTGTGATCCATCAGGAGGAGCCTCTCTGCACAGCTGAGTCCGCTCACCTGGCCGTCAGGAAGCCGGCCAAGGCGGGGCATGGGGCTCAGTGGTAGAATGCTTATTTAGCATGCTTTGGATTCCATCCCAGCACAGCCAAAAAAAAAAAAAAAAAGAAGAGCCAGGTATAGTAGGACACAGTCACAATCCTAGCATTCAGGAAGCTGAGACAGGAGTATTGCTTTAAGTATGAAGCCAGTCTGGATTACATACTGAGCGCAAGGCCAGTCTGAACTGCAGGGTGAAACCCCGTCTCAAAAAGACAAAAACAAACAAACGACAGAAAACAAACAAACAAAACATAAACCAAGAAGAAGAAGGAAGAGGAGGAGAAAAATGGGAGGGGAAGAAGAGAGAAAAAGAGAAGTTGGGGTTGGGATGGGGTCATGGATCTTCCCAGGTTTGTGATCACCTTGGGGTCAGTAATGGACCCTCAGACATGAATCAGTCAGGAAGTCACAGAAGTCTTTGATTGTAGTTGGATGGTGGGGCTGGAAGGGGCCACTGTCCTGATATGTTGGGTATTCAGTAATGGTGAAGGTGCCTGTCACTCATATCCCCATAGGAAATACTTTAGTGGCTTTTTTTTCCACTGGAGATCAAACTCAGGACCTTGCACTTGCCAGTCAGTGGCTTTTTATTACTGATCTGTGTTGCTTTTTTTTTTTTTTTTTGGTGGTACCGGGGATTGAACTCAGAACACTGTGCTTGCCAGGCAAACACTTATTCTACTGAGATATCTCCCTAGACCCTCTGTGTTGCATTTTGAAAGGCAATGTGTGCCTTTCAAGGCATTCATTCTAAACACCACAATGGGCACACCAAGCACTCTACTGCCGTGTGAAGGACCTGGTTGAACACAGCAGCTTGCTGGTGAGGCAGAAATGGACTCGCGGTACCATCTAGTGGTTATCTCTGGTAATACCTTGAGATGAAACAATTGCAGGGAGTCCCAAAGAGTGGCATCGCTCAGCTCTGCCTGTGCTCCCTGGCGGAAATTTCCCAAGGGATGCTGCTTTCAGGCCAAGGTTATTCCTCCCAATGAACGTGTTAGGTGGAGAAAACTGGAAGCGGAAGGGCAGTGCTGACATGAAGCTGGCACTATAATTCAAGGTGCCAGATCATCAATGATGATACAGGCCCGTTTGGGCAAGGCATAGAGATATCTTGTCTAAAAAAAAAAAAAGAAATTTAAATAAAATTTGAAACAGTAGAATTTTAGTAGCCAAGATCTGGAAGTATGGGAATGAGTGGTTAATGGGGACAGAAGTTTCAGTTTGGGATGATGAAAAAGTCCCGGAAATAGATGGTGGTGAATGTATGTAATGCTGATGAACTA